GAAGTTTTGACATTTCTAAACCACATTAGGCCATCACCAGAAAATAATAAAGTGGCTGACTTGAAAAGCTGTTCATCGGTAACCTCATATGCGGCAGCAAGCTCGGAAACTCTCTCAAGAAAATCATAAACTCTTCTGGAATCTCCAGTAAATTTCATGTTCCATTCGGGAATGAAATTTTTGTTATTGGAACAAGATAAGGTAGCGGGAAACACAGAAACATTCGCTTGAGGAGCCAAGGTAGAGTTAGCAAGAGCAGGTGGCGCTTGAGTACTCTGAAATTGATCCACTCTCTCATGAGTGTCAGCATCAAGAGAAAGACAACGGACATATGCTTCATGTTTATATGCCTCAACATCATCTTTGGTTTCATCATCAGGGACGGTAAGTCTTTGGATACGTGCCATTACATGTGCAAGACGGGCTTTGATTCTGAGAAAAAGTGTATCAGAAGGATTGCCTTCAAAGTCAGCAACCAAGGTAGTGATGCTAGCAATTGTGGTATCAATTTCTGTAGACTCGGTAGGAAATTCAAAGGTAAATTTATAGACACCAACATTCGTATTACCACCCTGAGCTTCTTTATCTAAAAGACGCTTTAAAAGTCTTATTTTCTCAGGACGTCCACAGTTAGCAAGGACTCCTCTAAACTTCAGCTCATAATCAATTTCAGATACAAGTAAATGCCGGGGACTAATGGAATCTGCCATATTTGATTACTTTTACTAATTGAAGGTATAGGAAAATATGTTACTGTCAAAATAAATTAATTCGAAATCACTCAAGTAATACCGGTACACCCAAAGTCAAGTAGTTGAGTTATGCAAAGAAAAGATAAAAGATAATACCAAACTGTACAATAATTAATTGATATTATTTAAGATGTTCATGCCCCTTAAGTTGAGGCGCCAATTTATGTAACCCCTTTTATTAATGAATTAATTAAGGGTTCATAATGTGCTCAGTTAGCTCAGCCTAAAAAAATATTTAAAATAGTAAAAATGATTTTATAAAAGAAAGTTAAAGAGTTATTATCGAAAATTATACAAGCCTCTATCCCAATATAAGGCATTCTCGGAGACCATCCATTCTCGTCTCTCGGTATCGGTACGAAAGGGGCCACACTTGGTACTAGTGGGTTCTAGCCCAGAATTCCGGCAGAAAAGGGGCTATAATTGATGTCGAAGATGCAGGAAACACATTGACCTGTGGAATCTTGCTTCTAATAGATGGGATGCCCTTCAAAGGCTCAATATCAAGCTCCACGGAAATGGTGTTGATTCAAAGATGGGGCCTTCTTGGAATGTACTTGTTGGGTAAAATCAGCTATTCGAGAGACCCTAAGCAATAATGCATTCCTTGAAAAACTATTACTTATGAAAGTTGAAAGAAACTTACCACGTTTTTGAGTGGGATTTAAACTGGAATTAAATTGTAATCACGAGACTTTTTGATCTGAATTTTTCTTTAATCGATAGATATTTGCCACACGCAACTTTAATTTGTTAAACAGGCAATGCCCAAGGGCCGGTAAGATATTTTATTTGATCAGCACTTTCAGTCAACCGTACTGTTCAAGCAGAGAAATTCAAAATGGACGAGAATCAATTTTCCACGGGCCAGGTAAGCACGAATACCGCGCTTCCTCTCGAAAAAATCCAACGGAAATTGTTGGTACTAACCGAGTGTCAAATTAAAAGAGACTAGCGCCCTCTAGTGAAATAGTTCAAAATTTGCTATATAATAAATAGCCGGAACCCTGTAATTTTAAATGTTAGTCAACATTTAAAAGGATTATATTTAGTTAAATTTTAAAAGAAAAAAGACAAGTAACTTTAGACGTTACAAATTTCACAAGAATTTTATGTATTTACGGAAATTTTTGCGATTTTTTTCTTTCAATTTTACCAGAATTTGAAGTGATACCATGGAAATTCTTCAAAATTCCACTGAAATTACCAGTAGCTTTAAGGATTTTTTTTTTGGAATTTTACAAAGATTCCACGTAATTCTACAGGATTTTTTTTGGAAATTTAGCGAAAATTCCACGTAATTTTACGTAAATATTTTGGAACTTCATGGGAATTTTCTGGAATTTCACGTGAATAACTTAAAATTCCGGAGGCATTGAGTCGAATACTCGGAAAATTTCGTCGTAATTCTTTCGCAGTATCACATAATTTTACCGGAATCTCACGTAATTCCACTATAATTTTGAATAATTTCACAAGAATCTTTTAAAGTGGCATGAAAATTTAATGTAATTTTGACTGGAAAAATTCTTTTCTTTAGTAAATTTAAAAAAATAAAATAAAAATGTACACCAGAATTCCATATAAATTCTCTGGAATTCTACAAAAAATCCACGTAATTTCAAGGAAATTTTCTGTAATTGCAAGAAATTTCACAGGAATTCCTCGGAAATTCACAGGAATTTTAAATAATATTATACATATATTTTTTTTCTGGAATTTCACGAGAATAATTTCAAATTTCGAAGAAATTACTTGGAACTCCAGGAAAATGATTGGCATTTCATCATAATTTCATAATTTTATCGGAATTCCACAGAAATTCCACATATTTTTGTTTGGAGTTTTACGTTGTATCCCTGGGATTTTAATAAATTTTACTGGAATTTTATTTAATTGCACACAATTTTTATAAAAGTTCGCATAATTTTTACGTAATTCCGCATAATTTCAACGTAATTCCGTATAATTTCAGTACAAGTTTGCATCGTTTTTATAGAATATTGCATATTTTCTATAGAATTCCGCAGAAATTCTTTGGACTTTTGCATAGTTTCTATGAAATTTCGCCTAATTTTTATGGAATTCTATACGACTAAAATCCACATAATTGTTTTGGGATTTTGATTTTTTTGAAACTCAACGCTTTTTTGGAATTCTATGTCGTTTTCCATTTAACTTCACTAGAATTCCGCATAATTTTAATGGGATTTGGCATATTTTCAATGAAATTCTGCATACTTTGTATAAAATTAAGCATCATTTCCATGGTATTCAGGATAATTTCAATGGAATTTTTTCTACGAGATTTCGCATAATTTTTATGAAATTTTGCATAATTTTTATGGAATTCCACATAATTTCTATGGGTTTTTATGTAATTTAATTGAAACAACGATTTTTTTTTTGGAATTCTACGCCATTTCCCCAAAATTGCATTTAATTTCACTGAATTTTCGCATAATTTTTATAGAATTTTGCATAATTTCTATAGAATTTCATGTAATTTTTCTAAAATTAATTATTTTTCCTTTGGAAATCCATGTCATTACTCCTTTTATTTCACTTGATTTCCGCCTAATTTCGATGGAATTTAGCATCTATTTGAAACTCTATGTAATTTAAATGGAATTTCGCGTGAATTTTGGGGAATTCCGCATAATTTCTATGGAATTTTGCTAAAATTTAAACTTTTTTTTTTGGAATTTTGTCGTTATGTCTCAGATACTTATTTTATTGAAATTTAATGGAATTCCATGTTATACCTGAAAATTCCAAAAGAAATTACAATATATTTTCGCATAATTTCTATCAAATTTCACATAATTCTAATATAATTGCAATATAATTTCGCATAATTTCTTTAAAATTTCTCATAATTTAAATTTGCCCATATCTTTGTTGAATTTCGAGCAAATTGAAATAAATCATGTATCTCTATAAATCTGTGTAAAATTGAGTTTGAGAGCTAAAATAGTTTTTGAGCAATTAACCCTTAAATTAGACTTTTAGTCAAAATTTTGTCAAAAACTTTAAACTCAATTTGCTCAAAAACTATTAATTTGAAAATATTGTAAATCACAAGCCATTTAGAAGTCAATAAGAGCTAGAAAAGCTAAAAATTTCAATGCAATTTGCTTAACGGTTACCGAGCATTTGAGGTATGAATATTTTGAAATCAGAATTCAAATGAAAAACTCGATTTTTTATTTTCCAGTTTTGCTCAATTTTGACTTTACCAATCAATAGAGCGAGTCAAAATTAGTGGAAAACAACCCAGACAAAAATTTAGAAGGAAATCCTATTTTTGGGTCTGGAAAATTTTCAAAATTGTGACATGGTCGTGAGCAGTTGCCCATGTTTTTTTTAAATTTCAAGCAAATTCGGATAAATTATATCCCATTAGAAAGAGCAATACATTTTCTATGAATCCGTGCAAAATTGAGTTTGATAGCTCAGATAGTTTTTGAGCAATTGAAGCTCAAAGTTGACTTCTAGTCCAAATTTTTTCAAAACAGTTACCGAGCAATCGAGATTTAAAGATTTGGAAATCAGAATTCAAAGGGGGTACCCTTATGAAAACCCGATTTTGTGAAGTGAAACTTCTTAGGCGGCGGTCTGGAAGACGCGTCACGTCTTGGCAAGTTTCGTTACATGAGAGAAAAAAAATATATAACGTAGAAGAACGGAGAGAGACAGCCAATGACAATGACAGCCGACGAACGATTGACGCACAAACCAAGAACTAAACTATTATTGTCAAGCGCCGATACCTTTGTGACGTCCCTACAGATGCACGTCTCCCTTTTGTGTAGTCCTTCCTTCGTCTTTACCACGGTCCTCATACGTTAAAGTTTTAAACTTCAGATGGGAGTAAGGAGGCGGCGAAAATTGTCTGGGCAAACAGGCAGCTAACACCCTAGCGGAGGCCCTGCTTCTTTCAACCTTTCGTTGCAATCTGGATCATTCCCAAAGCCAGAATATTATTGGAACCTACCTATACCCAAGAATTTCTAGCAACTAAGATCCCGATCTTAAAAACATCAAAAGTTGACAATAAAATGGATCGCACAGTTGCGTTGCAGAAAACAATGATAATCTGGCCTTTGGAGAATGATGCGGATACCATCGAAACGTTGGCTCTAAAAATAGATTTATAGAATGGAAATTTTGGTTAGTTTTATTAAAAAGGGCTTGGGTGAGCTTTTATAATATTAGGTTAAGCCGTAATAATGAATGCACACTTACCAACCACATACCGACCACCCAAATTCTTTTTAGCAGCATCATCGATAATGCTCAACAAGCCTTCTGGTTTGCTCAACAATTGGTTCAAAGTCTTTCTATTGTCAAAATAATTAAACGGTTCAAATTCCACTTCTTCCATCTTCAAATCTTGAATCTCCCACGAGAAAATTCTTTGTAAATAATGGTATTGAAGTTGTTCGTTAAAACAGTTGATTAAAAACTGAGGAAAATGGTTTTGCTTGAAACATTCGAAACCGAAATAATCCAGAAGGTTTATTGAATACTTGTCACCGAAAATCGCTTTTCCAATTTCCAGTTTGTTATTTATCATTCCAACTACAAAATCAACAAATCTTGAGTATAAGTTATTAGCTAAAACGTCCCGAGTATCTCTAGCTTCGTCACAAGAGTTTTTCTTTCTTATCACATTTCCTTTTGTTACCAAGCAATAATTGGTTAAGGCCCAAGTAAACTTCCTTTCATCTACTTCCATTAAATCTGCAAAACTTTCCAAATATTCTTTGTTTTTGATGAAGGCAGAACCGTCATCATCATCTTCTTGGAATCTTATTTCGCCCAGATTCAATATAGCAGCAATTACTGAAAAGAACGTAGTTATTTGTTCTTCGGTGAATTCAAACTCCTCGAGATAACTGAATATTTTTTTATATTTGATGATGTTCTGTTCAATATTATCTCTAGGCCTGTTGCAATCCTCGACATTTTCTTCTGTGGGTATTCGCAAATATCTGTAATTTCTGTTATTATGAAGTCGGTATTTTTGAGTTGCGTCTGTATGGACCAGACCATCGTAAATATAGTAGAGGATATGAAAATTGCATTGGTTCCTAAATAAAGCGATTTACTAGTAATTACTTAAATAATATGTTAAAGCTATTTTACATGTCAACTGCTGAAATTCTCCATTTCTCCAAACACAAACTCTTAAATGTGGCCGCTGTCAGTTTTCCAGTCTGCCCAAAAGAAAGGCTAGTTTTCAAGACACATCTGGTAGAATATGCATTTGTTGGTGTACTGGCGTGAGTCAAAGCGTGGATCAGTTTAATACCATTTTTGATTCTAAATACGCTGACTGGATGCTGTTCTCCAAGGAAAAATAAATGGTCGATAATGTGAAGATAGTTTGTGGTTTTACCGGAAGCGGACTCGCCTAGAAAAAAAATTGAAGCAGCAAGCGTTATTTTCAATACATCGGAATATTAATTTGTGCGATTTCTGGAATTGACTGAATTTAATGTAGAACTGTTTATCCAAGGTTTAAGAGTTTGCAGTGCTGCAAGTGCGCATCAGCTGCAATAACATGTACAGAAAGAGCTATACAGCACAGTTAAATATCTCCCTCTTCAACTCGTAAACACAAATCAATAGTAAATCCTGAGGAAGAACTGTCACCACAAACCTAAAGATGTTCAAAAAATTTCTTGTTCTTGACTTGATCTTGACTTGAATTCAAGAAAATTTCAAGTCAAGAAATCTGAAACGGTTTTCAAGACAAGTCAAGATTCCCTATTTCAAGATCAAGATTTCTTGTCAAGAAACCAAGAAATTCTTGAAATTAACAGTTTTATAAGTGGCTGTAATAGTTCATTAAAATACAAGTTGCAGACTGCCACAATAGCCTTCGGCTATGATCGTGATCCCATATTCCCATATGTATGAGGGTATCTGGTTCCGATACAAGCTGGTAGAAAAAGACACGAATACACTCAGTGCGCACTAATCCTTCCAATAGAACAGAGTCAGATGAGTACACGACATGACAAAAATCGTAGTCAAAAGACTTTGAAGCTCTTCAGCTGCAAAACTATTGAAACTGGATTGAAATTATTCATTGGAGATTGGTAGAGAATTTAATTGGCTTCAATTAAAGCCTAATTGCATTGAGATCGGATTGAATTTAACAAAGTTGTGAGGCAAAATGTGTGTTGATGTCATTCTGGGAAAGTTCAAATTTCCAAAAAATTACATTGAGGGGCGTTTTATTTTATTTTTTTTTGAAGAAAATGTTTGAAGGGTTGGATTGAAATTTTGCAATTGCATAGCGGAAAGATCGAAATTGAGGTAAAAAAATTTAAAATTATTTCTGCTTGAGGAAAACCACCTATTTAAAATATTATTTCTTCAAATATTAACTTTTTAAAAAAACGTTTACTGAATAAACGTAAATGCTGCAACCATGTAATGCGCCCTCAAGTTTAGGTTTTGGGGAAACGTAGGTACCGGAGGCAATTATTCATTCCGTAAATGTATATGGCATCTAGCATAATCCCATTGGTCAGATTTAAAATTTAAACCAATTAAACTTCGAGTGCCATAGGTACGCGCGTACGGAATGTAAATCAGTGCCATATGCACTTACGGATTGTAATATACCTAGTTATGCGTTATGCGCAAGCAAAATCACGGCCAAATATCCTGTTTTATTTTTGTGATCTTTCGATTTTCTCAAAAATGTTTAGAACAAGAAATTGGCAGTTATTGCTTCGCCGACATTATTTTAATCAGATCTCTTTTAGTTACTTCGGTGTTTGAAATCGCCATGCATGCTGCGACAACGTTGCTACCTTTAAATTATAAATATTTTGAACAGAGACCGGGAAAATATAGAGCAAACCTAATAACTGAAAATGACGCTAGAAGACGGATGGAAAAATTTGTGTCTTTTAGAATGTTGTTGATCTAATGCTTTTTCAAAATAGCTAATTTGGCACTTATAGTTCACTCATTTTGTATAAAGCTTTCTTGTTTTGTTATATTATTCAATAAACATATTGACGCTTTCCGCTTTCGCTCTGATATAGTCCAACACATACCATTTTAAAGTCACGTGATTTTTCTCTATCCTTGTTGAATACATCTCAAACAGCGGTGATAGTAAAATTGACAAAAAAATGTCTGTCTAATTATTGTTCATAAAATTCTTACCTGAAATAGAATCCGTCACTGTCATTGTTAGGGCCTCTAACTCAGGTGTCAACATTTAATTTAGGGATAGATCACTGGATCATAAAGGGGATGGGAATGTCACTGCTAAATAATGCACTCACACTTCCAGTTTTATATCTCTCTATTGTTGCCAAAATAATCGTTTAATAAAGTAATAAATACTGTAACCACATTCAAGTACTTTTAATTATTCACAGGTTAGTTAACAAGTCACATTTGAGTTATTCGAGAACATTCACTAATCGGTATAAATTCACTAGTTGCTAAGTGCTCAATAGTCAATTTAACAATAATTGTCAGTATTAGCGGAACGCTAATATTTTAGTTGAGAGCACAAGATAAAGTTTATTCTTAATAGAAATCTTCGGGAGTTGAGAGTTTTTATATTTTTAGAGAGCCCTTAAAAAAGGAGGGTGTGATTAACTCAATGTTTTACGCGATATTATATCACTTGAGTTTTCAAGCCAGCAGCCAGAGAGATAAAAAAATAAGTCTTTTATTTAGAGAGCGAGAGAGAGAGAGACTGCACAAGGGTGCAACTAGAGAGAATAATCAAATAATTAGAGAAAAGTGAGCAGGTTCAAACTTGTATAGAGCTAGACGTTTTTACGCACTATTTACTGCTAGTGAAACCACACTACTAAAATCACAAATCACACTGCGAAGTGAAAAAGAGAAGGAATGCATTTTTTCCCCTAGCGACAAAACAACCAGACTGGATCGATACAGTACAGCCTGGTACGGTGCCATTTTGCAAGTTTTTCACGGCGGGGGGCTTTTTTGCAACGTTGCCACTGTGATCATAAAAAATAAATATGATTGTTTGTTTCACAACATTCTGCCCCGGGTTGAAGTTTCCAACTTCAAGAAATTAAAAGAGATTACAAGAGGAGAATTATGAGAGTTATTAAAAAAATACATTACGAAACTTAAGAATTAAGAAGTTGAGACAATAAGGAAGATTATAATATATCTAATACTCAGGGTTATTATGTGGGGGCAATAAGTTAACACTTTCTGGTAAGGAACAAACCTTTGCTATTGAACGTGTGAAACTTCCATCAGATGTTTTAAGATTAACAATTCTAACTTTTCCATCTGTGCCTTTGACAGTTTCAGTGACTCTGGCCAATGGCCACTTGAGCGGAGGCATATTATCTTCCTTAAGAAGAACGAGGTCGTTTTCACATATATTTCTTGAGGGCTGGAGCCATTTGGGGCGATTTTGAAGTCTATTTAAATATTCAATGCTCCAGCGCTTCCAAAACCTTTGTTGAATCTGAGAGCACCTTTTCCAGGAGTTAGGTCTATTTTCGGGAGTATGAGTGATGTCTCTGTCAGGATATGCAGTCAGTGCCGAACCTATAAGGAAGTGTCCAGGGGTTAGCTATATTCGAAATCCGAAGGGTCGCTAGATAAAGCGCATAAAGGCCGAGAATTTAATATTGCCTCAATTTGGCATAGAATTGTGTCAAATTCTTCGAAAGTGAAGTGATTATTTCCTACAAGGCGATTTATGTGGTGCTTTGCACTCTTAATGGCAGATTCCCACAATCCTCCCCAATGTGGTGACCGAGGTGGGATGAACTTCCACTGTATTTCATTTTGAGTTAAATAGGTTTCTATAGTGTCATAGTTCGATTGATTTTTGAAAAAATTATACAAGTCCCTCAAGTTATTATTTGCTCCTGTGAAATTTGTAGCATTGTCACTAAATATGGTGTTTGGATTCCCTCTTCGAGATACGAACCTCTTCAAAGTCATCAGAAACGATTCAGCTGATAAGCTAGAGACAAGTTCAATGTGTACCGCTTTAGTGGCCATGCACACAAAAAGGGAAATATAGCATTTAATGACAGCAGCTTTACGTAATCGAGAAGATTTAATGAGGAAGGGACCCCCGAAATCGACTCCAACTTTTTGAAAGGGTCGTGATATATTTATTCTTTCCTTTGGAAGGGTGGCCATGATCTGCTGATTGGTTTGCGCAGAAAAGCGAAAACATGTTGTGCAATTTCGTATTATTTTCTTAATTTGACGTAAAGCATTTAAAGGCCAAAACCTAAGGCGAAAGTTAGAAAGTACATTTTGAGCGCCAGCATGACCCAGACGTTTGTGTTCATGCACAAGCATGAGATCTACCACAAAATTCTTAGATGGGAGAAGAAGAGGATGATTTTGGTCATAGGAAATCTCAGCATTCAGCAGCCTACCACCAACTCTCAATAGACCCGAAGAGTCCAGAAAAGGTTTCAAGCTGAGTAAGTTTTTATCAGAGATCAATTTATTATTTGAGAGTTCAAAAATTGTTTTTGAAAAATATCGGTCTTGCAAAACTTTAATTATAAAGTTTCTTGATAAATCAAGCTCTAAGACAGATAATGGACCAATTCTTTTGTCGATTTTTTCCTTGATGTTACGTACAAAACGTAGAATATAAGCCAATATTCGCTGTAATCGAGGAAATGATGAGTATTTTTCGAACATTTCGTCATACCAATATGTGTTTTTATTTTGTGAGGGATTTTGCATTATTAATGTCACTTTTCGTTGTTCGGGTAAATTTATTTCTTTTTGAGGTGTGTCATAATCAGATAAATTTAAATCAAATTTGTTTAAAAATTTAGGGCCATGAAACCAAAATCCAGAGTCCAAAACTTTTTGGGAGAATACCCCTCGAGACAACATGTCTGCGGGATTTTCTGAAGATTTTATATATCGCCAATGACAGTTTGACGTTAATTCTTGAACTCGCGAGACTCTATGAGAAACAAAAACAGTCCATCTGCTGGCATGACTTTTGCACCAAGAAAGCGCAATTTGAGAATCGGACCATAAATGTACTTTAGAGAGGCTTATTTTCTTTTTGAAAACAAAATCAATCTTTTGGAGGAGTTCGGCTAAAAGAACCATGGCACAGAGTTCGAGCCTTGGTAGAGAAATGCTTTTAATCGGAGCGACTCTGGATGAAATTAAGTCACAAGAAATAGTCTGATCAGAGTAGACAGTCCGGAGATAGAGACAGGCACCGTATGCTGCTAAACTAGCATCAGCGAATCCATGAATATCCACAGATTCAATATTTTTATGGGAGAACATATTTCGAGGAACTTTCAAACTTTTTAACAGAGTTACACTTTTCAAAAATGAAGTCCATTTTCCTAAAATAGTCTCATCCGTTATGATAGTGTCCCAATCAAGTTT